AAATCTTCAGCGCCAGGGTCGGACTAACTAACTTGAGTTATTAGGAGACTATCAAGGTTTCTTGTCGAACAAGTTTCGTCATACGAGATGTTTGGATAATATATGAACTCCCAGAGATGAGTTTAGTTAGTATGAACGTATTAATAAAATTTCTACTACATGAGTGACATTTACAGGGAGCTGTTTATTTTGCGAATCAACATTTATACGCTTTTATAAATGACTAAATTGGCCATCGAAAGGTGAAGCATATAGCAGCATCGAAAGGTAAATTGCATAGGTAGTTGATTAATCCTGCAGATTTTTGTAAACAATATTATCCATGAAAAAATAGGGAAAAGACTGCAAATATTTTAAAACACTTGTTTGAAAGAATCGATCTGTTTGGAATTTGAACTGAATTTTATTTTTCTGAATAATTCAAGAAATTATTCTACAAGCAAACAAAAACAACAAACTTTGCACCCGATCATCCGTAAAATAAGTCAATGCAAACTTGGCTAAAGAATTTGCACAAGTGACAATTCACCGAAAAATAAAATTAAGTCTAATCATCTTCCTATAACCGGTCATCTACTTGAAACGGAGAAGAAAGTTACCTCTAGCTTTTTTGCCCGCATTTGCATCAACATTTCTATTCCGATTTTAGATTTTTTCGAGTGGTAGCACAAAAGGATTAGTCACTGCTGCGTAATTTGCAGTCCTTTAAACTGAGCTACACGAGACTTAATATTCGTTCATCCGCTTCTCCTCCCATGCGGAATGGCCGAAGCTCTACAATGAGTCGTCGTAACAAATCGGATGATCTCTTCACTTGCGATTCGCGTTTCCTGAAATGCAGAACCCCGTACGGACTCGTGTGGTTCAGGTGATCTGTCGATCGGCCGTGAAATTGGACCGGATAAGCCAAGCATTGAGAGCGTTTATTCCGCAGACTATATTGTCCGGTTAAGCTGCGGAGCTTCAACATGGCTGACGCTGCTCGAGTTTGGGTTATTCTTGAATTTAGTTTAATTTTGGGTAATCTGGTTGTGCAACGAGCTAGGAGTGGTCTGCTTCAAGTTGGATCAAGCAAAACAATTCATTTTCGTCCTAGTTGGTAAGTATTAAAACTTTTCTTCAGTGAATAACGTATGTTTTTAGTTTCTGATCATCAGGTAAATCGCTCAATCAATCATAAATAGTCAGACTCATTCTCGCAGATCACAACTGATAATTATTTAAAAAATGTTGCAGGTTTTCGTCGAAATGCGAGAAATTATTATTAGAGTATCAAAAATAAAATTATTTCTGTAGAGTTATTGTCTCATTGATTCGTAGATTAAAGAATTGGTATTGAAATGTACGTGGTAATAGGAATCCACTGTCAAATTTCTAGCGAAATTAAATGATTGGAAACGCGGAGTGTCTGGACGCACGACGAAGGCTTTTTGCCCGGCGGTGACGGCTTTCAAGCTGCAAGAATAGAATCTACAATTTTTTACTGATACTGATTGCATTTGTGTTTAAATGTAATAGCAAGCTATCAACTAGCTGAGACATGAACCTTTCGTATAACATCATTACTGGATCTGGTTTCATTCGAAACTTTTCCTAATTGTGGACACTCTGGCCGCTCTCTAAAAGTTCTAGTTTAAAAAAAAGTTCTAGTTTCTAGTTTTAAAAGTTCTAGTTTTTTTAAAAGTTCTAGTTTTTAACTATGAGGCGCCGTGAAAGTTACTGCCTGAAAAATTACGTGTTCTCACTGTTTTACGCAACATCTAGTGTATTTTCAACGATGATCTATTATATGATTCTTCTAAACATGATTAGGTAGTCGAGATATGCTTGAAATTCAAGCATTGAGGGTTCAACAAATTTCAAGTTGTTTGCTTAGCTGATTGAGCATCTTTCTTTTGGTTCATCCTGTTGAGCGTTCCTTTTTGCGAACTACTCTTTATAGTGTGAAATTTGGTCGATAATTGCTGCTTCTTCGTTTCATACCGTCATTAATATGGTAATCATTAATATGGTAATCATTAAATGGTGAAAGGACGCCATGAATGTTCACAATTCCTTGCCGCAGTGACTCGTGTTTGTTCAGTGACATGACGCGAGGCTGTCTGCGCGAAGCCTTTCAGTGGCCTCGACTGACAAGAAGAGCAGAGAAGCGAAACCTTGTGTCGCTCAAGCCTTTCGCGAAGGAGAATCAATAAGTAATGGTACTATAACGATAGTTGTTGGCAAAAAGATCAAGACGGAAATGATGTTGATTGAAGGGAGAATTCAAATGGGATGAAGAAAAGCAATCGACTTTATTTTTATATGCTAGAAAGAGAGATTGAAAATAAACTTGCATATATAGGGGGAGATTAGAAAGGCCACCAATCTGCTTAGAATGTCTGTTACCTTGACAACCTACTCTTTCTGCCTTCTCATTTCTTACTCCCTTCCGATATAATCAGTGCAGTAAATTTATGTAGTCGAGCAAAAGTTAAGGCGCGGATTTCAGTCGAATAAGATGGTATAAATTCGATTGCCGAATACAGGGGCGATCGACAATTAAAATCTCTTTGCAGTGCTTTCGTAAACAATTCTCTTGCAAAATTCAGATTGTGCACTTTGTTTTATTTTCGTCTGTATTCCCATAAAATGTTCTCGTTAAAGTCATTTTCACAAACCCTAATCTATTCATGACTATTATAACGAGTGTCGAGACTCCCTTTTATTGATCCGAAATCATCAAAGCTTTTTTTTCTGTCGACGAATTGCGCGAAGTTGCCATCGTATGTTTTTCTTGATCATTCTATCGAAGCTCTTTAGGTGATCCCGTCGATGTTTTACTTCAAATGAGCCAAGCTGTTCCCTTCTATCTTCGGTATATAAGTGTTGAAGTCTCATGGTCGTTCAGATAACTCTCGAGGCTGATGACTTGACAGAATACAGCGTTTAGAACTCGGTATTCTATGCTGCTCAGTGGAACCTTTCTTCATATTTTGACGTTTAAATGTGAGTATATACATCTAATACAGGCTGCGTCTCCTGTTCAGATTGTTTTGTTACCATTGACTTATTCCAAAATTTCGATGATATTGCACGTGTTTTGAGTACATTTGGACAATCCATGAATAATTTTTTTTTCTTGTAAGTCAAATCAGAGCATTTATGCTGTTTCATTATTTTTACTCTTGTTGATTCGATGGTTTTAACGTTGGACCTTTTTCAGCTTGGAAACGTTGAATAAATTTGTTCAAACCTTGTTTTCTGTCGACGCCGTCAGAAATATTCATAATTTGAGAGTCAATTCAAATAACTTCCGGGGTCTTGGTACTGTAATAAAATAAAAATATTGATTTCTCGTTTCAAGTTATGACTGCTGTAAAAAATGTGCTACCGTTCTTTCACTTCTTTATTCTGGGTATACATATATACTAGTACGTGTAACTGAAGAGAATCAATTTAGTAGAATATAATTGTCCGATTATAACTAGAGCGTGCTGCTTTATTAACACTTTCTTTTAATTTCCACGCGGACTGCATTCTAGAACGAGTGGAATTAAATCGGGTGCGGTAATGTTGACCGAGCACACGCACTGAGGTTTGCTTCTGTGTGGCGCTGGAAATTGAAGACCAGAACAGTCCTGAAGAAACAGGGCTCATTTCTTGCTGTCCAGAAAAAATGTTCAACTTAGCCATTCTCCTGAATGAAAGATCGCTATCCTCCTGAATCCATTTTCTGACTTCATCGTTGAGTATTTTAGATGATGATGTTGCTGAAATTATAATGTATATCTTCTCACATCGTTGTTTTTTTTTGTTTATTTTACCGTTATCCATTTTATGCGTCTTAATCTAGTAATTTATCTATGTGGTTTTATACTATATTAGTTTATTGCTTTTGAAACGAAACAAAATCTTGCGTGCAATCCTCGCTTCTTGCGGCTAGTATTATTTTTATTTTTAATTGACTGTGGACCGCCCCCTTGATAGTTCCCTTTCATTAATCCGTTTATAATTAATAATGAATGCAACGTACCATAACTTGATCGACATAATTGTTTTGGACAGCCCTGTATACTTTGGTTTCGTAATCTTACAGGCCATGACCGTAATAACTCCGTGTCCCTGCACTACGTTATGTTACTCGTCAACGTACTTACGTCAGGTTCTGATGACCTCACGTGCGACACTTTTAGAACCTATTACCTTAAGCTGCTTACATTCCCCACTCTGCCCTCACGCTTCTAGCATCCTGTAGAGCTTCTTTCGTCCTTTTTTAATGAATATATTCAATTTTACTACGCATAGTTTGTTGTTTATTATTTCACTCCTGACTCAATTCCATTCTGAAGTTATTTATCTCACGATTTGTCTTGCCTAAGCACGCTAGTCAAATTTTTGTATTTGTATGTTTTGTTAGCAGTCTCAGGTTCGATTTAGCGTATTTCGAATGGCCATTCCTTCTTAAAAATATCCTTGTATTGTTAGATTGATTTATGCGCTTTTCAGCCATCAAGAAATATTAGGGTTGGCAATGAAGCACACGCAGTGCATAGCTTGTGCTCGTGATGATGCCACTCTTGGCTTGTTATTGGACATCCTGTGTTCTGTGGGTGCGGCATGCGTACCATGAGTGTGAGGAGCACCAGCGACCTTCTTGGTGTGTGTGATGTGTTAATCAATGGAGCTTGAATTCCAGAGTCTTATTTATTCACTGCGAGAAAATAATCATGGAGCCTCTACATGAATTATTCACCACTAAGTAAAGATGATTATGGAGATCTTATTCACATTAAATGTCACTTTTACGAAATAAACTGTGACCAGTTATAACCACGCAATCGAGAAGGGAGAGAATAACTCACCGCCGTCAAACCACTAGTACTGTAATTAAATAGGCTTAATCTGAAATAACCGACTACTTTTTGGGTTGATTTATTCTCGTAAAATCAAAGCCAGTTTTTTTTGGAAATTTTATCTTTCATCATTACCTGTTTATTTTTATTGACTATATTTTTTTATTAACTGGATTCTGCACTTATATAGAAATGGGGGTGAAATGTCTGTGGACTTGTACATGAGGTTGAGGGAAGGAAATTTTTCGTCTTCTACGGTGAGCGCTGGAATTTTTGGAAGTTTAATTGCAATTCTTTAGTTCAAAAATTTCTGCCTTCATTTTATTAAAGCTCATGGCCCGGACGACCCTGAACGTGGAGAACCAAATGCCGACATTCTCGCACGCCTTCATCTGGGCCGAGATCTATCCAGCGTGGAGTTTTGTGACATCATCAACTCCTTTATGGTCGATGACTTTCCTGATAATGTGTGTTTGCTTTGTGTGACTTGCTTTGAAATTGAAATATGTTCTATCGAACACTGATTTTCGTTCGTATTTTTTTATTTATTATCATCCTTGTTTTTGGGCATTTGATTCGTCGTCTATGGTCGCTTTTCGGAACTAATGCGCCTGTTGCAGTTGGCATAGAGTTTAAAAAATCTTCGGATGGCCTTGTTCCGGTTGCTCATTTCTCAGATCTGAATAAATACTCAAAATTTAGTAATCACCATCTTATTACTTATCCTTGTTGAGAGTATGAGAAATAACATCGCAATATATGATCGACAGAGATGATTTCATGCACCATCGGTATGGCAAGACTTTTATATCCAATCTCCAAGTACAATTTATTTCTTAAACTACCTAGCACAAATCTCGCCTTCAATTCTGCCTAGTTTCAACAAAATATTTGTGAGGGTAGTAGTATTCAACATATGAGATGTGAGAACGTGTTCAACAAATACGACTGGGAAGTGTTCAACAAAATACGACTACCCACAGAATTTTGTTCTTGAGTTGAATTTGAATAGCTGTTAAGTATACTGTGGTGACCTGGTGACTTCCATGAAAACTGTCTTTAATTTCAACTTCAACCTCGATCTTTAATTAAATTTTTACTGATGGAGAATAGAAAATTACTATATAGAACGTATTTTTTTATAAGTTTCAATTGAATATTTCGAGCATTCACCTTCATTTAAACAAGTTATTCAAACTTGATGAAAAAAGTTGTGAAGCTTTTTAATATTTTGAAATACTGTAAAATCTTCATTAGTATTTTCCATGTTTGAGGAATTCGTTTCGTGGTAGCTACTTGATCATCTGCCATATCAAATATGCATAATACAACGCGTCTCTTCCTTGAATTATAAAATATTTAATGCTTTAAACTGTCTACTGTTTTATCTTCGGCGCTTGGTTATATACAGAATATTCGTTCTGAAATAGGAAGACTTTTAGATGTGTAATGCGTGCGGTTAGTATTTCTTGAAGGCTTTTAGTGAGCTAAAGCGCCCCATCTTCATCTCTTGAAGTTACTGCTTGGTTTTCAAAAGATCATCTTACTCCATCGTCGTTCGAGTTTCTAGGAACGAACGCCTCGTGTTTTGTTGTTGATTGCCCCAGGATTGATTGCGTTCGGTAGCTTCAAGATTGCATCGACACTTGCCTTTTCCCTCGCGAGTTGAGAAGAAACGTAACGTATATTTTTGTTGCCACTGGCGAAAGACAACTAAGGGCTTTGTAAAAGTTTTTTTTCCGTGATGCAATCGGCTTCATGTCTGAATGTCCAAGTCAATCGAGAAAGATGCAATTGTGTATTGGCTGTGGCGATAAGAAAACAATGCATGACTTAGATTTTCTACTTTACTATGACAAATTTGCACCGCAAATCACCGCTATTTTTTTAAACAAAGTAGAACGTCAACTTGTAGAGTGCCTGCAAACTCGATCGCATTCCAATGAGTTTCGGTATTTTTATTCAGAGTTCAATTCGTCAAATATTCTGAGCTAAGCTTTTAACTAACTCAATTATTATTAATATTATAATTTCAAGGCTGATCCTCTCTCACCGAAATCTCTGTTCAATGAATTATTAATATTTTAGCTGTGAATCAAAAGAGTTAATTAATAGTAATAAGTATATCAAAAGTTGGTTCCGGTAATACTCTCAACTATATATAATCGAGCTGCTGTCGAGTTTTTTCTCGATAATTTTCGTAAAATTTGCCAACTGTAGAATTTCATCACGAGTTTCTGCCAAATTCAAATTTTCGATACTATTTCGGCAGCGATGATAATTTGGTTTATTTCAGCTGAATAGTTTTGCTCACCTAGTGTAATACCTACGTATATAACAATATAACATGTTTCAACTTTATGATAGAGACGTCAGACGAGCAATGGAAGAGTTTAATTTTGCTCATTAAACTTTTCCATCAATTTCATTACGACCATGTTAGCATTTATACTGCAGTTGATTCTTTTATATTTTTTTGTCCTGACACCTATAAGTTCATTCATTTCTATATTCATGCGTAGTTGGTGCATAATATTCCCATTACTTTCAGATGGCTGTTGGCCGGTCATCGCTCACGGCCTCCATTGGAGTATTTTTTCTTCTCCACCTCGTGATGCTCCTGCCCACAGAAAGTGAGTAATGAGAACTCTCGGTTTTATGTGTAATGAGAACTCCAGGTTCCATGTGTAATGAGAACGCCACGTGAACTTTCTTACGTCTCTGTAGTCTGTACCCCATCTATCATTTCCCCGTCCCTCGATCATACGTCTCTGTACCTCAACATTTCCCCGTCCCTCGATCATACGTCTCTGTACCTCAACATTTCCCCGTCCCTCGATCATACGTCTCTGTACCTCAACATTTCCCCGTCCCTCGATCATACGTCTCTGTACCTCAACATGTCCCCGTCCCTCGATCATACGTCTCTGTACCTCGACATTTCCCCGTCCCTCGATCATACGTCTCTGTATCTCAACATTTCCCCGTCCCTCGATCATACGTCTCTGTACCTCAACATTTCCCTGTCCCTCGATCATACGTCTCTGTACCTCAACATTTCCCCGTCCCTCGATCACTATGTCCCTGGGCCCCAACATTTCCCCGTCCCTCGATCATACGTCTCTGCACCTCGACATTTCCCCGTCCCTCGATCACTATGTCCCTGGGCCCCAACATTTCCTCGTCCCCGATCACTAATATCCCTAATCAAAGATTCATCGCGCCCTGATGGATCTATCAGGAGATTTACAGGTGGAGACTACAGCCATTCTGCGGCTTGATCCGACGTCCAATGCAGCCTTTTGTATTTTACTGCGCTTGAAATTCCAACAATTTGAGACACAGAATAAGAAGTAGAGCGATTATAATTTGCTTATTTGTGTTAAAATCTGTGTTGCAATGTTAATAATTTACGAAATGGTGGAAATAGACATAGCAGTCTCTAACTGAAATTTTTCATTCGTATTCGTAACCTATCCTAAGAAACTTCGCATTTTTTGCATTTTTTTGTAGACGCAGCTATCAATCAACAAAATCAACGTTGTGAATTGATTTTGGATATTTTATCCACTTGGTGTTTGACGAAAGATGAAAATTTAATCATAGAAATTTTCCCATTTAATGGCAAACTTCTTTTTGGCTAACCCAAAATAATGCGTCGCCTACGTTGGGCATACTTTTCTTTCCTCCAACTTGTGGACGTCTCAAATTAAAACCTAAATTTCATGTACAACGGTCTGAGAGAATGTTTTATTGAATAAAGTATTAGGCAGAAAAAATGAAGATAACTCAATAATAATAAAATCATCTTAATATTGAACCAAATGATCTCTTTTGATGGAAGTTACATTTTCGAATCAGAATATTATAACTCACAAAATCAAACGTTAAAAGAACCCTTTTTAGCGCATTTTCTCATTTATGGAAAAAATGCACTATTGCGCTCGCCATGTCCGTCTGTCTGTCCGTCCGTCCGTCTGTCCGTGACCTCATGTTTTCGTCGACGAGAAAATGCGCTCTCTGTCACTCACTGCTGTGAGTACTGAGTTATATTTTTTAACCTATTGCACTTTATGGAGTTTTCTATACTTTCGAACTTTTCGCAGAATTTGACCTAAGATTTTTTACCCCTATACATCACCGCCTGAATTTGTTGTGACAAATATTGCGCGAGAAAACGCGTTTCGCGTCCCCCACTCAGAAGTTCGCTAACATTTTTTTGCCATTAACGGATTAATGGAGAAATTAAATAGTAATAGAACTTGTAATCGTTTCGATGTGCAATTAAACAAGTGTTTTTACGGACTTATTTGGATAATTTGAGTTTATGACCGTGTATAAGTCACTCATTATTTCTATGAAGAGCTTTCTAAAATCATTCTCATTGAAATAATGATGGTAAATATTTTTCAGCTATTTAAGACCTATTTTTCTTGGCCGATATGTCCCCGATGATCGATAATACCGAATTGATAGTCGATTGCCTAATACACCTCGACATACATTCGTCGGATACATCGCCAGCAGCTTGCCGTATTGTCAGAGTTCGCTTGTACGTCAATAATGCATGGGATCGATGAAGAAATGCCACGCACGACACTGAGGCTCCAGGCTGGCAGGTGCTAAAACTCCACCACTTCGCCGGAAACATAAATTTAAAAAATGCTTGCTTATTATATATATTGTTAACATGCGGGAAAATACGTACTTACGATCATTTACATATCTCTTATCAGTCATGTGTTAGGGAATTTTGCGAATTGTTTGTATCTTGTAAAGTTCTCGGAATAAATCGAAACTTAAATTTTCCTGCATTCATCCATTTATCTTGAATCTATTCGATATTGTGCCAGTAGTATCGCTATGTTCATTTTGGTAGATTTTCATACACCAGAAAAGAGTAGCATCGCATCAGGTAGCATATATATCTGCTCTAAAACTAATAGTTTATAAAATCAAGGCTAATTGTTCTTGGTCGTCACTAGTTTGTTTCGCCTCGAGCGCAGTAGCATCTTTAATCACAACAAAGTAGTTCATGTCCTTTTAATGTCGATAATATGATAACGAAATATCATTATGTCGGAGTGTGAAGCGTATATATTATGAGAATGTGCGGTTATCAGTAACAAAGTTTCTCTTTTTTCACGGCTGCAATAGCGGGAAAATTTTGCGAGGAACATTAAAGTTTACTTGTGTCAAAGATGAATGCAAGCAAGTGTTACATAATTTTGAGTTTTTAATATCAATAAAGTGTATGTTCTGATCCTCACAAGCGAATGATGTGTAAGCGTGAAAATTTGATGTTCGATAAAAACTGTTAAGCTTTTTGTGACCGTTTGTTGTGTTTTTGATATCACTGTGTGTGCCAACTTAGCCGCAGATAAGGCTTACTTAGCAGATAAGGCTTACTTAGCCTCATATGATTTTCAGCTTCAAAAGTTCACATTAATTTTCTTGAGAATCTCTGAATGGCGTGGTCGACTCCCTCCAACATTTCATATTTTTTTTCACCGCTGAATGACAAAATATCTTGATTTGAACCCATTTTTTTTCAATTTTCGGGATTTATGTTTCGAGCTCTTTTGCTTCATGTTAACTGTACAGTGTACTGTATAGCACTAAATCGTAAACAATACCTGTGGTGATCTGTCTGCTTTTACTGCTGACACGATTTCCAAGCAAAATCACCGTGAGTCGGGCTCATTTTTCCCTCGCTATAAATCAACGCTTATCCTTCTATTTTTCTGCGGATTAACTCTTTTAATTTTCCTGGACGGGCGCGCTAGAGATAATCGTAATTCGTGGAGCGCGACAACAGCTATTCAGCGTCCGGTTGCATGATCATTGCCGGGCGGCGCCACTTCTCCTCTACGGATCGATGACAGACATCGAAGTCCGTCACTGAAGGCACGCGATACCGCCGTAAACCGAGTCGTTTTCTGTCTCGCCAATCCCCCATAAAAACGAGACCGTGCCAAGCTTCGAGTAGAGTCGACCCATGCTTAAATTCAGCATGGCTTGTTCACGACCCATGTTCAGCATGGCTTGTTCACCAACTTGTCATCTTTGTAATGAATCCCTGGTGCTGAAGTTTCAGCACGCAACAGTCATCGACGTTTCATTGAATTCTGTTTTCATTTTCAAACTAAAAACGAAAGTTGAGCCGACAGAATTTGTTTACTTTTATTTTTCCTCATTCATCAGTGGTAAGGAATTTTAGTGAGTTTCGATATCGATTGTAAGTGAGACAGTAATGAAAGTAATCGATATCAGAATCATCGTTTTATATTCTAAACAACACGGTTTTAGGCTCAGTATACTTGTACAATTATATCTTCAAACATTTTTATATTTCTGTGCCAGTAACCGTGAAAGCATTTAAGGTCATCCATCGCCATCGCCGAATTGAAAAACTAGCGGGCAAGGCTGCGTGTTTTGTGCGCATAACATTTCCTGTGTTTGTTTTTCCTTTCCGCTTTGACTACCAGTTTCCTTTTGAGTTTTTTTTTCTACAAATTATATGCACGCGATGGCACTCTCTGAGCAGTAATTTTCCCTCGCGAAAGTGGTGACAATTCCCACCATAACAGCCCTTGTGAAAGATTTGAACCATTTGTTCCAAGGACTCAAACAATTCCTTTGTTTCATCTTATTTTCCAGGCAGCGCAGTGGAATGCTTCGTCTGTAGCTACGCACCACGTAGCAACACCAGTCGCCTGGACCTGTGCTCAGAAACGAACTTCACCGAAACCGTCGTCAACACGAGAACTTGCGAGTTTGGATGCGAGCGCGTCGCCACTTACGACGTGAACGGTGAGCTCAAGCCTCTGTTTTATCCCAGACACAAGCGGGTATTGCAAGGCACCGGTCTCATCATGGCAGATAGCGTCCACTTTACGGCTGAGACGTGTATTTATCAACAAATATGTTCCGATGACGCGTTACGTATTTTTGATCTATCGAAGCCGGTCACTCTCAATGTTGATTTTTGCTATAGGACGATTTTGCCAACGAGATAATTAATTACGTTTTGAATCGTATGGCTTGTGTGCATACATCGTATGTCAGAAACTTCGAACAATTGCAAAATCAACCGAAAGTCTAATGGCCGAAATATCACTTCTGAGATTTTTTTCAAATAAAGATGCATTGTATACGTACTTTAGTTTCAAACTGTAGCACACTAACTTTCTTGTAATTTATTTGTTGCTTGCAGGAGAGCTCGAGAGCTACCACCGTAACTGTGCCCAAGACATGCCTCTGACGAACACTTGCGAGACCACCGAAACGGTCATTCTCACGAGAATCGTCTGTGCTTGCGATTATTCGTACTGCAACACTGCAACTCACGCATCTTCGTCATCGACGAGGTTGTCATTGATGTTTGTAATGCTCTACTGCGTCTGGCATGTCACCGCAAGAAGAAACCTTCAGTTACATGGTGACTCACCAAGATCTTCCAGTGCATCGATGGTGTATTCACCAGCTTAGATTTCGTAAAGAAAAGCGTATTCGATCGCTGCTAAGTCACTCACAAATTATTAGCGTTTTATTTACTCTGCACCCTATCAAAAATGGAAGGCATCAAATGCTGCTAACGGCCTGTCTTAGAGAAATCTCTGCTGATTTGGGTACTTGATTATTTTTGTAGCATGGTTTACTGAGTCAAAGAACCGCTAGCAAGTAACCTATTATTTCCAGTATGCAACAATATTTTCAGGTACTGAGCTTCAGACCGTCGTCATGGTACTATTATCCGATTATTATTACCTATTGATAAAATGACGTAAATTTCATACAAAGTCGGTTTAACTTGGTCAACATCAGACAGATAGTTCTGCTATGGAGGAGTAAGAAAATTCTTACTTGCTCAACGCCTTCCATCTTTTGTATGCTTCGAGATCCTGGTCTACAATAAAGACTTCTGTACAATGTACATAACACAACATAGCGATGGCTGTATTACAGCACATTATTGATCAGGGTTGAATAAGTCGCTTCGCTGTAATTGAAGTTTTGTTAAGCAAGCGTAGAGCCTTTTCTTATTTGTGCTGTGCATGTTAACTTGCAGGTGTTCAGTGTTTATATACGTACAATACTGTTGGAATATTTAAACAAATTGTAATAATATAATGAATCGATACTTGAATCATAAAATACTATCAATACATTTTTGCCAGCTTGTAAATAAAAGTTGCTGTTGATCGTAATCCAAACAGCAGACCACGCTCCAGACCTGTCTGGAACGTTGATCTTCCCGCACTCTTAGAAAAATTACCGTTAACGGTATTACCGGCGTTTCAGTGGCCGGTCGGCACGTGAAAAGAAACACCGTGTCGCCGTTTTTATTCTAATTTTAAGCTAGAAATCCGTAAAACATCTGATAAAAACGGAGAAACAGTTTATTTTCACGGGGCGACCGGCCACTAGAACGCCAGTGGGACCGTTTTTTCTAACAGTGCACTAGCGGGGTTCCTTGCTTGTTCTTGACTCTCGATAGAGTGTCGCATTTCCTTTTTTCGTCCAGTTCAAAATATTTATTTCGTGAAGTCTTATGTCCATCAAAATTTAGATTATCGTTTTGCTATTTTTGAGACCTACATTATTTTATTTTGAGCCATATTAAGGACACGTGCTCGATTTACCCACGCTTGAAATGGGGATCTTTGTGCTGATAACAGCCTTTATATATAATACTCGTAGATACATATACGTATTTATAAATTTTATATGTATAATATATATTGATATGTATAATACCTATATACATGGAATTCGGAAACTATTTAAACTCGTACGGTACGAAAACCGAGGAACGAATTTTCCTGAAATTCATTATGATATGGTTTATAAAACTTTACTCCTATAATAAAGTCCTCAATTTACAATCTTGCTCTTTCACTGATGACTTACTTCAATTGAAAAATTAATACTTTTTGCTAGTATCGTAAAATTTCTTTGCACTTTTGAGATTTATGGTTGTTTATTATCGCCATTGTTGTGTCGCAATTCGTTACGAACCACGACCTCGGATACCGTTAAATAAAAATATTCCTGGTTCAGTTATCTCAAAAATTTGAATCGTGTTAACTCGTTGCTACATCCATTAGAGGTAAATGCTCACAAATGAAAATTTTTAGCCTAGAAATATAACTAAGCATACTTTGGGAATTTCAATATAGTGAATATCACTGCTGGGTAGGTACGTTATTTCCCACCATGATAAGTATTTACGCTCTAGTCACATTGTGTTCATATTTACTATTGGTAATTTTTATCGAGCTTCTAGAGGGCTTCAGTGCTTGTCGAACAATTTCGTACGTAATCGAACGCTTAGCTCGTCACGTGTTTACAAGTGAATTCTATTACCCGTACGTAAAGTCTGACAAAAAACGTTCATTGTCTTATTTCCCAACTGCAAACTTAAAAATAATATGTTTAAAAATTACTTTTTAAGACAATGCTTCAGAAGAATTCAGTGTCTTGGATGTTACACATGTACAATGAACTTCTAATTTTATTTTCAAGTATAAAAAAATATTTTTCACATTTTTTTAAGATATCAAAATTTTGTAAATTTTCAAAATTATTTATTCCGTCCGGTGTTACATTTGTACAATGAATTTCTAATTTTATTATGAAATACGTATATTTAAAAAAATAATTTTTTTATATTTTTTTATAAAGAAAAATTAAAATTTTTCAAAATTATTTATTTTGTCAATTGATACATGCATTGTCTCCGACTTTACGCAAGTTTGTAAAATTTCAGATCGATTGGACAGGTAGAAGTGTGTTAAATATCGATTATAAGTTATGTAGCAGACAAAATTAGATTTTTTCTTTTTTGTTAATATAAAAAAATTTTAAATTTTCAAAATTATTTATTATGTCAATTGATTCATGCATTGTCTCCCACTTTACGCTAGTTGGCTAATTTTCAGATCGATTGGAGAGGTAGAAGTGTGTTAAAAATCGATTAGTACAAGATTTGTAGCAGACAGACGAACAGATAAACAAGAAGAGAAGTGTTGTAATTACCCTATGACCTTTGTTCTCCTCTAATTTTCAGGCACATAGTTCATAATATTATAAGCAACCATTAAAGAAAACAATTTGGGGAAACGTCATTTCAATGCCGTATATGATGCATATTGGTGAATTTGGATCAAATCAATATTTTCTGTTACGTTTCTTACTTCTTTATTTGTATTGAGTTATTAAAGCTCCCGATTTATATTAAAGTCTGAATAATATCGAGGTCATCCTATTTCTATTTGTAATGATGCCTTCGTAAAATCTGACTATTTATTTTCGATATAATCATGTCTGATGTTATTATACTATAACTTTTATGTTTCCAGTAACTGGAGAGTTAGCAGCATCTGTCCGGTTATTTACGCTCATCATTTTATCTTTAAAACTCCGGACACTTTTGTCGATGATGTTATCTAATGCGGAAAGTTTTCTGCCGCTTTATCCCATCTACGCAAGAGAAGTAAGAATTAATTTCAAGTAATTGGCCAGGTTTCAGGATTATTATCCGTATAGCAAGCAGCGATTTTGATGGGTAAAATAAATCGCCTAACAGGGAGCGCAGCCGTGCACCACCAATTTCGTGCACCAATAAGCCCTGAATCGAACGCCTTGGATCTCTCCGGACCTGCACCAATCAGCCGTGCACCACTCGGCTGTGTTCTCTTCCGGCCTTGACCACCACCTGCCGTGCACCACCAGGCCGCGGATCGAATACGACTTCCGGGCATCGTTAAATTACGTAATTTTACGTTCACCGCATCTGAGGTTAGGTTTCAGATAGCATAGTTCTGTTCCAAAATATATCGTCCTTCGACGAGTGGCCGTTCGACCGAGGGCTGGTTCGACCCACGGCCTAGATACGGACGGCTTGAAGTGTTGAAGGCTACGTTCCGGAAGGCAGGAAACATGATGGTCCATTACATCCAGGGCAGTTGTGGTCTTCGGCAGGCGACCCGCCTAACACTGCCACTGACCTCCGGGTCGAAAGAACCGACGAAAAAAAAGTTTTATTAATAGTGCAGATTCAATATACGTTGCCTTTATGAATGCTTAGCTATGAATAGGAATTTCCTACGTAAACGTAGTAGCGCACCATAATCAAGCATCTAAACCTATTGGTTGAATTTTCCTGTTCTCTTCTTCTCTTATAAAAAGACTCATTTAATGAATCCTAGCTACGAAATGCCACATTATCTCGTGTGTACTTATGAGCTTAGAGGCTTGGCGTGTAATGCTTCCGCGTTACAATAACTTACTTTCACCAGGAGCAAATTTTTCACCTATTGCTGACTCTACTAATATCTTTAATTTTCTCAAGTGGCCTGTTAACTAAAATCCGTTACATGGTTAAGGGAGCCTGATTAAATTTCAATTTCGTCTCTTTTGTGTTGGAAAAAAACACATGACAAATTAACTATTTATAATATTTTGTATATTGAACGTTCGTTTTGGCTTTCGCTCTAGTTTAAATACTTATTATGAAAATATTTTATTATACCATTTTTTATACTTGTATTTGAAATTTAAGCCGCCACGATTGCAATCCCGAGTGTATTGTCAGAGCAAAAGTTTGTGTATCACTGCATCCTCTCACCGCCGCTGACGTAATATATGTATTAAAAATGGTTCTTACTTTCATTGCCCTGAGGGACACCGGTCGTAATTTATTCCATGCATATGCTTATGCAATCTACTGGATAGCTTTGAAGCTGAAAGTTCTGTAACGCTCACGTCAAGTTACGTGACGCAAGACTCGTAACTTACGAAAAAACTAGAACTTTCACCCTCCTTGTTTCCCTTCAGTTACAATCAGTGCATTATGATGGTGCATACTGACTTCCCGAGAGCTTTAATTATCGCCTCATCATTTTGACTTCTTCAATGTTGTCTGATTTGTCTCTAGACGTTGAATTTCTTTCGTCACGATAGGGATGAATCTCAACCTATTTCTTCACGATAGGGACAAGTTTCAATTTCTGTCATCAGAAGTTACTGGAGAGACGCTTCTCACTTTTCTTTTAATGTGATTGTTAATGTCTCACATTTCATTACGATATAGAGGCTTTTTCCTTTTATTCTCTACGATTGGTATGTATACTTGCAGTTCTATTGCGATACTGACGCTTTTCACCATCTTTCCTCGCGATTGAGTCGCTTCTCACCATCCGGATGCTCTTCAATCTCATCCCTTGAATTTTCAGACAGTCTCTTGTTCTATCGGTTCTTCACTATACGAGTCGCGGCTCTTGATAAGAGCTCGCCAAGTTCTCAGCGGGGCTCTTAAGGCCTCTTAAAATAAACTGATATGGAAGTCGTAGTCAAGCCTCATATGAGGGTCAGGTGCCAGAGTAAATAACTACCTTCACTAGTAGCAGATGTATGAAAATACTGGCTCTAGCAGCAAGCATGAAATTTATTTGAACAATCCTAAAATATTACATGAAGCACTAACGTTTAAAAGTTGCTAATGTTCAGACTGGTCCCGATCGTTTATGTCCAAGTACACCATATTACACTAGTCTGTCAAGGCGACTATGATCATTGCCGTACCAGCAAATATTAAATGTCAAATTTCGCACTAATCACTCTTGACCATCAAGTTTACGTCAAAGAGTGTTTTTAAATTGATTTATTAATTTGTAGTAATTTAGAAAAGGCCCAGAAGCTTCGAATTCAAACACCGAAGTAGATGCCGTTTAAAATATTACATAGAAATGATGCACGTGGAAGTCCATCATTTCTATGTGATGAATGAAACAATCTTATGAACGCACGTCAACAAACGGTGCATGACATCATCATCATCAAATTTCCATGACATCATCATCATGGAATTAGCGTCCATTTGCCGACCAAGCCTCACCGCGGCAAGAATCGATATCGAGTGCCGGCATGTCGGTGTGAACAGAGTCGCCACAGCCGTGCAATTCCGCTTCAATTCTGCTGACAAATCGTTTCTTTTGACGACTTCACAGATTTAATTTCAACTATAGCTCAGAATTCTTCAAAATTTGGGGCGATGTTTTTCTAACCTCTATGGAAGTTTTAACAAGCTACAGCGATACATGCGACCAAGCCATCAATCAACGAGGACGAGAAGGATGTGGTAGCTTGCAGCGGTAAACTTGTTTGTGCACTTCCTAGTCGACCAGAGATTGCATATTTAACCGTGATGATTTTTCGTAGCATCTGAGCCTTGACTATCGTAGCATTCCGAAGAGTCTGTCTAAGTTAGAGGAAAGCGAGATTTAAGGCGATATTTTCTGAGCTTTTTAAAATATTGAAATTTTCGCTAACTTTCGAAATCTTCTGTAAATCATTAATTTATTTACTTTGAGTGTTTTGTTGTTTGTGCCATGCTCAATATCTGACCGTTTCAAAGTGTGATGTAAGCTTTCGTCAGAAATTTAATGTTGATGTTCAGTTAATTGCCGTCGTCTTAATTTATAACTTGTGGAAATCTAACAAGGTTAACCAATGATCTCAAGAAGTATTCGAACGCTAAAATATTTTTTTCTTTCTTAAACCATTCTTTATTATTTATCAATGAGAATTCTAACGATCTTCGTTAGATACATTGATAATATGTCATTCACAAATAGTTCAGTTCGCCACACAATTTTTTTGACTAGTGACTGCCACCCGCACGCTCACCACACCATTTCGAGACTGCCACCTACATGCTCACCGCACCCTTTCGAGACAGCCACCTACATGCTCACCGCACCCTTTCGAGACAGCCACCTACATGCTCACCGCACCCTTTCGAGACAGCCTCCTACATGCTCACCGCACCCTTTCGAGACAGCCACCTACATGCTCACCGCACCCTTTCGAGACAGCCACCTACATGCTCACCGCACCCTTTCGAGACAGCAATTCTCACACTGAACGCGCCTTTTCTTGACTCTAAAACTCAAGCTCACGTCGCCATTTGTTACTGTGACTCACAGTCTTGCCGCACCGTTTGTTGACATCTTTTCATAATTCTCATAAAAAGATTGCGGATGCTAACATCGAAAAACACTTGGACATTTACTCATTATATGATTTAACTTATGCTTTCAAGTAGGCAATCCGTCATAATCTCTGACTTAGGGCTGGTGCTCGTGATAGTAAAAGACAACAATTATTTATTCATTATTAAGAAAGCTCTCCAGAAAATTCATGTCTATTTATCGCGTGAATGTAAATAGATAATATACATGAACTATAGACCTTGTTCGCAAAATCATTCACGTTGCTTCGTGTTGCAAACGAGCAGAAATTGTCTTCTCTCTTAAAATATTGCAAGTGATTGCCGCAAAGGATCGTCAATATAAATTTTACCATTTGGCTTACGGATTGAGCTCGCTAAAAACGGATTGCTAAGCGCCTATATGCGTCTCTAACCTCGGATATAGAGATACTCTAGATTCTTTCCGATCCCGGCTGTTGGTTCATAAGTGTTTTGCAACTAGCCATCTACATCGTTATTTATTACTGAATTAAAAAAAAGCTAGAATGAATATTTGTATCTTGTACTTTACCCTTCTAAGCCTTGCCAACGCTATGGAGTGTCAAATATAGAGAAATAAAATACGAGACGTTGTAAAATTACAAGCTTTATTACTTTGGATTAACTTATTTAAACAATCCTCTTACAGACAACACAGCATCCAATGTGTACTCCAAGGAAAGTGCAGGATGAAGATTATGTATTTTAATTATAAATTCATAGCTCATTGAGCCGCAAAAATGGAGTCCCAATTTCCTAAGGGTTCTAGGAAGAGCTGCAAAAGTCTCCACTTCGAAGTCTGTATCGAGCTTACGTAATTCTAAAGTTTCTAAATAATTGCAATCCGACAACATCGCACGAATTCCAGCGTCTGAAACTCCAGACCATTTCGAAATTTTCAAATGTTTTAGGAATTTGAATTCCGTGCATATCGACTTCAGAACAACATCACCCCGAGCTCTGACATTGGCTACATTGAGAGTTTCAAGGTGGATAAAAGTGCTTGAATGGAAAAATTCACGCAGCCTTGCTTGATTCCAATTATCATAATATCCACGAACGCTAACTGAAAATTCCAAGTATTTCAAGCTGCTAAGGTTCCGCATACCGAGCAAGTCGATGTCGCCGAAAAAATATTCCAAAAAATTAGGCTCCTGATCGATTATAAGTTTCACCAATGATGTACTCATATTATATTCGATGGCTTGAACCCAGAATGGCTTGCCGCACGGGATAGTGAGTCCTAAAGTTTTTAATCGTCCTCTAGAATTCGTAAGAAAACTTTCCAAAACGTCGTCTGGAAGCGGTGCTCCGTACAGTTCGAGCTCTTCGAGGTGAATGCACGTCTGGCTGAGATACAGTAGATTGGGCGTGTATTCCGAGTCTGGTAATCGTTCTCTATAATTATGCAAATGATCAACACGCAAATGTCTAATATTCCTAAAATCTACTAGATTATAAAAATGGTAAAGACTTGCTCCAGCCACCGACAAGGAACGTAAACACGGCAGCTTAGATTCTTTCTCGAAGGCAGTTTTGTCGATAGCAATTTCCTTGAGGTCAAGGTGTTTCAACCTGGGGAAGGCAGGTTTAAAATCAGAAATTAATCGGTTGACGATAATCCTATTCGAAACACGCAGAGTTAAGGCGTCCAACCGTAATGACGTCATTTTGGCAACTTCGATTAATGCTATATCATTCTTGCAACATTCCACATGGCCCTCCACATCTTGACGGGCAACGAGGTCCTCAGGATGGACGGTCAAATTCGTCCACAATGAAGGATCGCTTGCGATGTTCCTCCATCGCTCGCAAACATGGACCACCGTGCGGTAAATTTCTTGCGGTGTCAAGTAAGATAAAATTTCGACGAGGAGTTCATCCGGCAAATTCGATATTCCTGCTGTTGGCGCCATCTTGTGTCCCGCCATCTTGAGTGAGGATGCAGCAGTTTTCACTGTAATGAAAATTTACCCTAGTCAGAGTGAAAAAATATTACTCTGAAAAACATTCATTCCTTTTCGCTAATTTTCCTCAAACTCGATGAGTTGGGTAATTTATTGTGTTGAGATTTAGATGATTAAATTATGAACAGAATTAACGACATGACCTTGGAGTCTCAACCATTATAAGATAATGGTAGAGTGTCGCTTCGTTTTGTTGGTCACAAATTATGTGAGCTTCGAGTTCATTTTTAAAATGTGTACCTATGCTGATGATGCATGCTAATTTATAATTTCTGTTATGATTTTTATTACCATCGCATAGTATATACGTATAATGACAATGTATCATGTAAATTTACTAAATTGTTGAAATTTAACTCATATAGGCAGAAGGCTACGATCGACATTCATCGAACTTAAAATTGGCATTTATCAATCAATATTGGATCAAATTTTTACATCAGGTTTTTATCTCGATAGATAGTACTGAAACTCATGCAAATCATTGAAATACGGTCACTAAACCATTTCCACACATTACGCAACATAGAGTTATACAGAAACTCCTCTAAAATAGTTTCTTACTTAAAGTTCAAACATACAGGAATTGATAACGCTACATGAAACCGAGGTTTGTTACCAATAATGCCGATAGTGCTTGTAAAAATGAACCACCTGAAGTGTCACTTTAGAATACAGAGTATTTTAGTGCCGTGGTTGTAAATACGACCAATACTCACTCGCCGTGTTGGCGGGGCGGTGCGCTCACCTCCAATACCGATCGTCGCGGCTGAGGCGGCTCGTAATATCGCCTCTCAGCTCAGGCTTGGCCAACATGGCGCAATCGCTGCCGCTGCTGCCGCAGCTGTGAGTGAATCATCGCTGCCTTATACTGCTGCTTACTTAAGATCGTTTTAATCGTCGATAAAGCGCGATTAGTGATGTTTCGTGCTGAGGTGTCATGTGTGATTTTGCAGTGTATGTTTTTTTTTTTGTCTTCCGTGCTTTTTCATGTGCAGTTAACGATTGGCTTATTTGTTTGTTGCTGGTAACCCTGACTATCGCCGTGCCGTCTGTTGCTTGTGACCCTCACTCTCACCGCGCCGTTTATTGCTTGTGATTCTCACTATCACCGCACCGCTTGACGACTGTAACCCTCACTCGAAATAAAAAGCTTGCGGTTGATGATATTTAATTATGCCCTCGCAGTTTCACGGAGTAAACTTGGACTTTCGACAAGCAAGCAGTTAAAATCTGTGACATTGGACAAGTTTTCGCGATAGTAAATGACAACAGAGATTTTATGATATTCTTTGTAACTTTACAGTCTTCTCTTTTCGGATAAAGATGAAGGTGCATTCTTTTATTCGTTTCACTGAGTCAGAGAAACTTCCTAAAAAATCTATGAGTTTTCAAATAGATATAAATAGTTCATACACTTAACTATGTAAACATCGGTAGCAGGTGTATTCATAATGCTTCAAGCTGTTAATGAGCAAAAACTTTTTCTAGCTTATGATGTTGCAAATAACGGCTGAAAATTATCGTTGAAATAATTCAACGACTCGCAACACTGGTTGAACTCACTGGCAAACGGATCGCTAAGCGCGTATGCGGCTCCAACCTCGGGTACTTCAAGTAAAAATTTATAGGTACGAAGGAAGTACAGTGGATGGTACAGGGCAGGGTGGCCCAGTGGTTAAAGTTTGGATTATTATCAGGATTGGCGCAGAGAGGCGCGGGTTCGATCCCAGCTCTGTGCGCCAGTTTCTGGTCAGAATCGGTAAGGAGGCCGGGCGGTTAGGCACAGCAGAATTGGAGCAGTGAGTTGCGAGTTCGAGACCGCGAAATGCTGTGAATGTTCTGCGATGTTAAGAATCGGCGACAGGCCTAAGGCCTACTAAATGCTGAAACCGCTATTATTATCTAATCATGATCAGCTTCGTAAACTCAATATATTATGAAAATTGAAGAATCAAACAATCAGAGAAAAAATTATTTACTCTGGAGTGGATAATTCAAACAATCCTCGTACAGACAGCATGGCGTCCAATGTGTAGTCTAAGGCAAGAGTAGGATGAAGATTTTTTATTTTATTAATAAATTCATAGCTCATTGAGCCGCAAAAGTGGAGTCCCAATCTCCTAAGGGTTCTCGGAAGAGCTGCAAAAGTCTCCACTTCGAAGTCTGTATCGAGCTTACGTAATTCTAAAGTTTGTAAATAATTGCAATCCGACAACACCCGACGAATTCCAGCGTCTGAAACTCCAAGCCATCTCGAAATTTTCAAATGTTTTAGGAATTTGAATTCCGTGCAAATTGATTTAAGAACTGCATCACCCCGAGCTCTGACATTGGCAACAATGAGAGTTTCTAAGTGAATAAAAGTGCTTGAATGGAAAAGATCACGCAACCTTGCTTGACAGTAATTATCACGAGTTCCACTGACACTGACTGAAAATTCTAGGTATTTCAGGCTGCTGAGATTCCGCAATCCGAGCAGGTTGATATTTCCGAAGGAATACTCCCAAAAGTTAGGCTCGTGATCGATTACAAGTTTCAACAATGACGTGCCCATATTATCTTCGATGGCTTTTACCCAAAATGGTTCTTCGCATGGTATGGTGAGTCCAAAAGTTTTTAATCGTCCCCTGGAATTCGTAAGAAAACTTTTCAAAACGTCGTCTAGAAGAGGTGCTCCGTACAGTTCGAGCTCCTCGAGGTGAATGCACGTCTGACTGAGATTCAGCAGATTCGACTTGTATTCTGAGTCGCCTAATCGGTCTCTATAATTGTGCAAATGATCAACACGCAAACGTCGAATGTTGGTAAAATCTACGAGGGTATAAAGATGGTGGAGACTTGCTCCGGCCACCGACAAGGAACGTAAACACGGCAGCGTCGAGTCTTTCGTGAAAGCAGTTTTGTCGATAGAAATTTCTTTGAGATCAAGATGTTTTAGCCGGGGGAAAGCAGGTTTAAAATCAGATATTAATCGGTTGACGATATTCCTATTCGAAACACGTAGAGTTAAGGCGTCCAACCGTAATGACGTCATTTTGGCAACTTCGATTAATGCTATACCATTTTTTGCAACATTCTTCATGGCCCTCCACATCTTGACGGGCAACGAGGTCCTCAGGATGGACGGTCAAATTCGTCCACAATGAAGGATCGCTTGCGATGTTCCTTCGCTCACCTCCAATACCGATCGTCGCGGCTGAGGCGGCTCGTAATATCGCCTCTCAGCTCAGGCTTGGCCAACATGGCGCAATCGCTGCCGCTGCATGCCGCAGCTGTGAGTGACTCATCGCTGCCTTATTCTGCTGCTTGCTTAATTTCGTTTTAATCGTCTATATAACAAACTTTCAGCTATATTTGTTTCAAGCGTGGTATTAGTTGTAATTTTACATTGTTAATAAATTGTAAATTGCTATCAATTTGTTATTGTTCAACTTTTATGTTCTCTGTTCTCTTCCTAGCATTAACAGAGAGCTCAGAAAAGTATTTAACTTTGTGAAGAGGTTACCTTTTTTTTCCAAGCATTAACTATTTACAAGAAACTGCCATATAATGCAATAATTAATTAGCTATAGAGGGTCAATTAGTCTGTTATTCATTTAATTCTTTGTTATTACAATCGCAGCCACATGGATCTAATTATCGCTAAATGCTTTCATTGCGAGGGGATATTGCATACAAGACCAACTGCTTCGGCTCAATCAGACCCTTAATAAGTCCAGCTAGCCTCGCCACTCTAATCGTATCTTTGGAGAACAGGGGCCTTACGTTCAAAATTAGCTAAGTGAACGTAAGTACTTACGCTTTATTTTCTTGTCTATGATTGGTGGATTTTGCTTGAAAGGCCGTCAATGATTGGCTGATGAACTTACGATCTTTTGACTTTCTTTGAAAGTATAGGCCCAGTAGGTCAACACATGCAGCGCTCTCTATACGTAAACATCTGTTTATATTCATGTTTTTAAGCTAGCAAAGCGCACGATGCAAGCAAAAAACATCGCTCTTTACGTTGAACTAAGGCTGATAAATCAGAATTACGCGTTCCTACCCTCTTGATCTCATGTGCTTGAAAATTGATTCCATCCCATGAACTTATGCTGAATGCTCCCCGAAGAGAAACTTTATTTTTCAACGTTCAACAAGAAATTCATTAGTTGGGCGACTAAATTTTTTAGTTGTCTTCTACGAGTTTTAACTAACAAAATCGACGGTTTAATGTTTGGCGTAGCACTGGTTAAAAAATTGGTGCTTGAGCGATTCAAAGTTTCCCTATTTTACATCACGTGGTTATTGTATTCGAAATTCATTGTCGACTTTAGGCTACTCGCTTAGTGTACACCGAGACTCACTTACAATTATTGAAGGCTTAATTAATATCGAAATGTGGTGAAGGAGCGTATTATTCAATTTGGATAAGAAAAGTTGATTACATCTATGTGTAAGTCTAACCTTATTAATCCACTTACTCATCCCAAAAATATATTAATCGAACCAAATCTATAACCTCCAGAAATATGACCTAGGGACATTTTTCGTTTAAAATTAACTAAACGGATGTGGTCCTATTCCCATAGGTTGATAACGCAAGGTCCGATGAACAATTATTTTGTGATGTACGAGATATTTGACGAAGAACTTGGTAAAATATAACGGACGCCGGTTGTTTAACACGACAGACAACACCGTGCCCGTACCGTGACTTGGTTTCATTCGTTTGCGAAGGACTGAGAGCGATCATCTACTGTGCCACCAATGGAGGCAGAACAAACGCATTCAATTTTATGATAACAACTCTTTAATCTTTATAGATTATTAAAACTGCCCTCTATATTTGGCACGAAAGTATACTTCGCGTAAACGAATGAGGTTGTCCGAAAAATGTTAGCAGTACCGTTTGTTGCTTGTGACCCTCACTATCACCGCACCGTTTGTTGCTTGTGACCCTCACTATCACCGTGCTGTTTGTTGCTTGTGACCCTCACTATCACCGCACCGTTTGTTGCTGGTAACCCTCACTATCACTGCACCGTTTGTTGCTGGTAACCCTCACTATCACCGCGCCGTTTGTTGCTTGTGACCCTCACTATCACCGCGCTGTTTGTTGCTTGTGACCCTCACTATCACCGCACCGTTTGACGACTGTAACCCTCACTCGAAATAAAACATGCACTTGCGGTTGATGGTATGTAATGCCCTCGAAATTTCACGGAGTAAACATGGGACTTTCGACAAGGCAAACATTTAAAATCTGTAACACTGGGGGGTGGATAGATGGAGGTCAGCATAGCTCAAGTCCACAGTGTGATTCATATATCTTCCCGAGCGTAACGCAGCCGGGCATCTTCACGGCTTTTGACTCAAAGCGCCCACCCCAACAGCGCCGTTCAGTCACAGGCCGGAGCGCATACAGGCCGGAGCACAACTTGCCGGAGCGCAGCAGGCCCTACCGCAACAGCTACTCCTATAACCTAACCTAACCTGCGCCGCCTGTTGCGGTAGGGCCTGTTGCGCTCCGGCCAGTTGTGCTTCGGCGCTGTGAAGCAGTGGCTGTGTTGTGCAAAGCGGATTTACTGTTAGCCGGAGTTACCCACAGCTCATTGATCTGAGGCTATGTGTAGATATTGCATGCTGATAGTTGACGTTGGGCCCAGGGCCTGTTTACCAGTCAATTTTGTTACCCGCGGCTGCGCTCCCACACTGGGCAAGTTTTCGTGATAGTAAAAGACACAGCTATGAT